GATTGCACAGCCTCCCACACCAAACAGGAAAATCCAGCGCCATCTAGCCGATTCTAACTCATAGTGACCCTGAGCAGAGAACTGCCTCTTTGGATTTCCTAACCTTTATACTTTTTAAAGGCTGCAGGATGGCACATGGGTTTTGAGATAATTTGTTGTGCCAGCCTGGCTGATAAACACAGGTGGGATTGACTGAAGGGCGGAGAGATAAATGGCTTGGTGAGCCTCGCCTTTCTTGTCTCTCTGTGATCATCAGACCGGTGTGGGTCTGCCTTGCTTTTTCTGTGCCTCATTTAAAGGCTACACTACCTGTGGGACGCCTAGCCTGTGGACTGTGTCGCTGTAAGTTGAGGTCCCTTTAAGACATCTCTGGAGCTGGGGACTGGCGGTTGGTGACCTGCCTTGTGATTGGCTGCTGTGCTGACATAGCCTAGCTCTCTCTACAAATAGAGGAAGATCTGGCAGCAGACTAGACTTGAAGGACTGCTAGTCTCTCACAAGTCTCTCTCATGGACGTGAGTTGCATTGAGCCATTTGTAGTGCTTTATAATTTAACTGTTAATTTCTTGTATTATATATTTATCTGTATATGATTTAACAGTTCATTTCTTGTTAATATATCTAATTATCTTTATAAACAAATATATTAAATTATCAGCAATTTGGTTTTATCTTTCTAGAGAACCCTGTCTAACACAGTTTGAACCACTGACCTTACTATTGGCAGCTCAATGCATAACCAACTAGCCACCATGGGTCCATCTACTGTTTCCCTTGAAGTCACTTAAAACCTAATTCTTTTTCAAACAATTCTTACCTTTTTCATCTTATCTTGGTAATTTATGGGTCTGGATTTTTTGTATATTTAAAACTAGGATGATAAATTAGTGTAACTTAATAGCTGAAAATATAGTGGGCACCACATCTAAAAACTGGAGCTTGCACAATCTATCCAATGCATTGTTTTGTATTAGTGCCCCAAGTAACCCCAGGAGCAGGCCTCAAAATCAAGGCACCAAGAAAAAGTAATTTTGTTGTTGGGCTGTGATCAGTGTAATTCCACAGGGCCCAGCACTCTGAAAGGCTTCATATTGGGATTTTTTTCCATAATTTTATCTTTGAATTTGGATTTTATAAGTGGATCACTTAATAATTTGTGTTTTCTAAATGCCCATTTGAAGAGTGGAGCAAAGAATGCACAGGAATCTTAGAGCCTGGGACCCTGTGTGGTCCTACCTCTTGTTGCCTCCTGGGACAGGTTCTCAGCCACCTGTTTTCCCTTCCATCGCAAACCCTTTCCTCCTCCCTGCCCTTATCCAAGAGCAACTGCATGCCCAATCTACTGCCAAGCCAGGGAGGCTTGGGGTCAGGGTGATACAATCCCAAACGACTCCACTGTCCTAAATTACAATCCCTTAGGGCAGCGGTTCTCAACCTTCCTAATGCCATGACCCTTTAATATAGCTCCTCATGTTGTGGTGACCCCCAACATAAAATTATTTTTGTTGCTACTTCATAACTAATTTTGCTACTGTTATGAATCATAATGTAAATATCCGATATGTAGGATGTATTTTCATTGTTACAAATTGAACATAATTAAAGCATAGTGATTAATCACAAAAACAATATGTAATTATATATTGTGAAATATTGATTTATAATTGCAAATAAATGAAATTTTGTCTTGAAGCATGGTGTAGCATCATGGGTAACAGTCTTCACACCGGGTACAAATATGTGGGCGTATCTGCATGTGGGTGGAGCTGCCTGGAGACAGCTAGAGGAGTGGTGTCGCAGTTCCTAAGATCATTGGAAATATGTGTTTTCCAATGGTCTTAGGCGACCCCTGTGAAAGGGTCGTTCGACCCCCAAAGGGGTCACCACGACCCACAGGTTGAGAACCACTGCCTTAGGGTCATGTCGAGAGAAAATTAACTTTACTGCCTCTGGCCAGCCTCCACATTCTAGTGGCTCTCAAAAATTGTATCACCTGCCTGTGTGATGTGTCCCATTATTATCCACATTTTACTAAAAAGGCAACTGAATGAAGAGAGCTTGGCCAAGTGACATATATGTGGCAGTGCCAGAGCTTGAACCAAGGCAGTCTACCTGCAATCAGTGGGTGGCAGCAGACAAGCTCTCTCAGTAGTACTCTGAATGTCGATAACCTGTTTTCCCAAAAAAAAGTTCCAATCAAAAAGTAGATCTTCCAAGGAGCTCTGCTGGGCCAATTAAGTTCAAAGCAGAGAGGCCAGCTCAGAAGATTTTGACGACTATTTTTAGGGATTTCACAGGGGTAAAGTCAATGGATTTTCTCCTAGGACACAGGACGATTACAGGGGCTTATTAGAAAGAAGTTTTAAGAAAACTGAATTGGTGAGAAAAAAGCCAGGAAATTTGCATTGAGATATTTTCCCCCATCACAGCAATGCAGCAGCGTAGCAAATCCTATGAGAATTTCATTGGGAAACCTTACCCCATACAGCCCATAACCCTGATTGTGCCCTCCAGACTTAAAATAAACATGACTAAAGTCCTTCCAGGATGCTTAAGTGAGTCCTGGTGGCACGGACAGGAAAGAAAGTCTTCACTTTCATCCAGCAAGGTTGTACCAGCAGCATGTTGAGGTTGCTAATGAGACTTCCTCCAATCCTGGTTCATCATTCTTCATGTAGTCCAGCTTTTTTATTTGCTCAACATACAGATTCATCACATCTATGGCTCAGGGCCATAGTCTCGGGGGTACCAAGGCCAACAGAATATGACTCAATAGAATACTCAAAATAAAGAACAGTTATCATTGATATCACATGTAAGGAAAATTTTACTGAAGATTATCCAACACTAGTTGTAGCAATACATTGACAGGGAGTGCCAGAGATTAAGCCAGATTCAGAAGAGGATGTGAAACAAGGGATATCATTGCTGATGTCAGATGGATCTTAACTGAAAGCAGAGAATATCAGAAAGATGTTTACTTGTCTTTTGTTGACTATGCAAAGACATTCAACTGGAGACAGCAGATGGTATAAGATCTGAAAATAATTATTTATCAAGGGGTCACGGTGGTGGGAATGTTGGGGAGGGAGGGGGAAAAAGAGAAGCTGATAACAAGGGCTCAAGTACAAAGAAAATGTTTAGAAAATTATGTTGGCAACATATGTACAAATGTGCTTGATACAATTGATGGTTGGTATAAGAGCTTTAAGAGCCCCGAATAAAATGATTAAAAACAAACAAACTATGGATAGACTTGAGAAGACTGGGAGTTCCAGAACACTTAGTTGTGCTCAGGCAGAACCTGTACCTGGTCGAGGCAGTTGTGTGAAAGGTGTCCATCAATGTTGTATCCTCACCATACTTATTCAGTCTGTATGCTCAGCAAATCATCAGAGAAGCTGGATGATATGAAGAAGAATGTGGCATTTGGATTGGAGAAAGGTTTATTAACAACCTGCAATAGGCAGATGACACAATCTTACTTACTGAAAGTGAGGAAGACTCGAAAGATTGCAACCTTACATATAGATTACCAAGCAAACCAAAAGCCTCACCACTGCACCAATGGGTAACCATAAGATAAAGGGAGAAATGATTGAAGTTGTGGGCGAGTATGAATCGTTCATTTCTGGACTGATAGAGAGCACCCTGGGCTTAAGGGACTTTTAGTAAGACCTGTCACGGTCTCACTTGATTGCGGACATGTTCTCATGGAATAAAGCAACCAGATTGATGGAGCTGAATCGGAAATGTAGCTGAGTTTATTTGATCTAACAAAGAAAAAGTGCATGTAAAACTCATGCATACTTGGGGAGGAGACGAGCCAGTCAGGGTGCTGGGTGGCAACGATGAAACATACAACTTTCCTCTAGTTCCTAAATGCTAACCCCACCCCACCCCACCCCACCCCCACTATCATGTTCCCAATTCTACCTTACAAATCTGGCTAGACCAGGGGATGTACACTGGTACAGATAGGAACTGGAAACAGGGAATCCAGGACAGATGAACCCCTCAGGACCAGTGGTGAGAAGGGGAATCAATTACAAGGATCTACATATAACCTCCTCCCTGGAGGACGGACAGCAGAAAAGTGGGTGAAGGGAGACGTAGGACAGTGTAAGATATGACAAAATAATAACATAAATTATCAAGGGTTCATGAGGGAGGGGGGAGCAGGGGAAGAAGCGGGTAAAATGAGGCGCTAATGCCAGGGGCTTATGTAGAGAGCAAATGTTTTGAGAATGATGAGGGCAGTGAATGTACGAATGTGCTTTACACAATTGATGTATGTATGGATTGTGATGAGTTGTATGTGCCCCTAATAAAATGATTTTTAAAAAAAAACTCATGCGTACTAATCATCGAGGGGAAAAGATGGGCCCCCAGGCGAATGAGAGTCTGGAACTTTGGGGAAGGTATTCCCTGCAGGGTCCCAGCTAGGCCAGTCTCAGGAACGTGCAGGGTGCCGGCTCTAAAAGGTCGGGGACCCACCACCCCACCTGGCTTTTCACGCAACGCTCTACCCTGCCTGGAGAACATTCAATGGCACCCACCCACCGCCCACACCCCCATCCAAATGTCCAATAGAAACGTTTAGGGGCGGGCACTTTCTCTGGACACTTGCCTGCGGAATTGGGGCAGTGCTTCCTGCAGTTTGCACCCTTTCATTGGTAAAAAAAAAAAGGGGGGGAGCATACCGGGGTTGTCGGGACGGCCAATCACTGTGAGTCTTGGTAGTGTCGTCTCCTTAGCAACGCCCAGAGTCACCTGAGAGGGGCCTCTGGTGTAGGAAACCCGTGGCTCTTTGCGGACCCTCATCCCTGGCGGTGAGTCTGTGACACCCCACCCCCACCCCTGATCAGACTATTGGCTGCGAACCCCCATTATGTGCCTGCCTGCCAGCAGGTCTGCGCCAGAACAGACACCCTAGCGCAGCCTTTTCGCCCCATCACTCTGTTCCCTAACGAGGCTGCCCCTGCTTCTGCCCCATTAAGCTGCCAAGTGCCAGATGATGGAGGAGCGTGCCAACCTGATGCACATGATGAAGCTCAGCATCAAAGTTCTGCTCCAGTCCGCTATGAGCCTGGGCCGCAGCCTGGACACGGACCATGCCCCCCTGCAGCAGTTCTTTGTAGTGATGGAGCACTGCCTCAAACACGGGCTGAAAGGTGAGGCGGACGAGGGGATGCTGGGCAAAGAAGTGTGGGCCAGGTGTTTGCTCCGCACTTCCTCATGGGTGCCAAATGTTCTGAGTACCCGGATGGCAGCAGTGAACAAAGCCCATCAGGCCTCTGCCACCAAGAAGCAAACATTGATGCCCAATGGAAATACTATGCAAGCTACTTGGGCAGTTTTTAATGTTCTGGTAGCAAAAAAAACGTATAAAGCAGCTGAAATTAATTCAAACAATATAGTTAAGGCACTATGAGAGGGTTTCTAAAAGTTCTTCAAAATTTTCCCATGGCCTAGTCATTCCATTATTTTGAAGCCCCCTCATGTATTCACATATCATTTTGACACATACTCAGTTGTTAGTGAGATCTTTTTTGAGACTAAAGTCTTCATTTTTTTCCACTTACCGCCTATCTCAATTCAGTTTCTCAATTGTATTGTACTAGGCACGTTCTAAGTACACCTTTGCCTATGACTGCTTGTTAGCAAGCACTGTTCTGGAGGAAGAGACCATAGATGCAGAAACAAGCCATTAAAAAGTCCGACAAGCGGATGGAAGTGAAATGCATGATAGAGAATGGAGGAAGGAGCAGTTGGGTGAGAGGGGAGGTCTGTGGGAGGTGAAATGTGAACTGACTCAAAAGAAGGAGTCTGCCTCATGGTTTTGAAGGAAGCTCCTGAGCAGGACCAAGCTTGGCGTTTGGAAACCGAAACCCACCACCCACTGCAGTTGGGTCCATTCTGACTGGTATTAGCCTCGCAGGACAGCGTGGAGCTCGGATTCCCAAGGCTGTCACCTTTACAGAAGCCGCCTGCCACGTGTTTCTCCCCCACAGAGCCACTGGAGGGTTCCGCTTGCTGGAACTGCTGACCTCCCCATTGGCAGTCACTTAACCACTTAACTTAGCCACCTAACCAGAACTCCTTGGCTTGAGGAAAACGAAGCTGAATCACTGCCATTGAGTCGATACCGAGGCCTAGCGACCCTCTAGGGAAGGATAGAACTGCCCCGGTGAGTTTCTCAGCCTGGAACTCTTTACAGGAGTAGAAAGCTCCATCTCTTCCTTGGAGCAGCTTGGGCTTTTGAACTGCTGACCTTGCAGGTCATAACTTAGCATCACCAGTATGCTACCAGGGCTCCTTGGTTTGAGGAAGGTCCCAGGTAACTAAGGCTACTGAGTGGCAACGAGAGGAGAGACGTTTGGAGGAGCTGGAGCATGGAGGCTTTTATGATTAAGAGTTGGATTTTTCTTAGTGTGTTTGGACAGTGTTAAGCTAAGGTTAAATAGGATCTGACTGAAAATTTTTTAAATTCTCTGCTGTGTGGAAAATTGATAAGATTCGGAAGGTGACAATATTAGGAACAAGGAGATCTATTAGTTATTGTAGCAGTCCAGGTGAGAGATGGTAGTGATGATCTGGAGAGAAAAATAAAAAGCAATCATTGGTGTGGTCTGAGGCAGGAGGAAGGAAGGAGTCCCCAGATGGCATCAACAATTCAGCTACTAACTAATTAACCCAAAGGAAGACAGTTCCAGCCCACCCAGAGGTACCTCAGAAGAAAGGCCTGGCAGCCTGGAAAACCCTATGGAGCAGTTCTGTTGCCACCCATGGGGTCACCATCTTTCAGAATCGGTTTACAGCAACTTGATTTGCATGTTTGTTTTCTTTAGGGGAGAAAAGGGGGAAGATTTCACAGGTGATGATGAGACAGAGGCCTGTTGTATTTCATGAACAGTAAATACTAGGAGAAGGAGCACCGCTGGTATGCTCACTCAGAGAACCCGTGTTGCCAGAGAAAGGGAGGCTGACGTGTTTCTTGACCTCCTCAGTCCCCATGACTAAACCAGAATTCAACAGTGGAGCTCTGCTGCTTTCCCTTGGTTGGGGGGGGTGGGGGGAGAGACTGTGGGTCCCTGAAGGAATTCTGAAACCTGTTGTTATGAATAATACTTTTGTTTCTTCTTTTAGTTAAGAAGAGTTTTATTGGCCAAAATAAATCTTTCTTTGGTCCTCTGGAGCTGGTGGAAAAACTTTGTCCAGAAGCGTCAGATATAGCCACTAGTGTCAAAAATCTGCCAGAATTAAAGTGAGTGGTTTGGGGCCGGGGGTGGGGGTACTTCCTGTATTTCCACTATTATCTAGTCCTTGCGGATACAACATTTTCTAATTTTAAGCAAATTGTGGCATGAGCCACGCCCTACTTGGACTTTGGTCCCAGCTCTGTTGTTCATTACCCACATGATCTTGAGCAAGATGTGCCCCTCTCTGAGCCTCAGTCCTCTTTTCTTTTAAAAGGGCACAGTCATTCCCACTTGCCACATAGGACTATCTGATGGGTCAAATGGGTAGAGCAAAAGGTGTTTCAAACCAAAGGAGTAAAAGAAGTGACTGCTTCAGATATTTCTGAGCAGTTTTCTGGACACTACAGTTAGGGCTTGATTTCCAATTCCAGGACAAGTGACTGGGTTGAATAATGAGTCATCTGCCATGTATGAGTTTGCCCTTGAGACTCTGATGCATAGGCTCAAAATAAAAGAACACAACACAAGACATCATCACAGGATCTTGAGGGCCTCAGGACCATCTCCCGCAGGAGACTTGACTGTCAAGCCTTTGTTCACCTTTCTCCTATAGAGTCAGCCTATTCCATTCTCAGGGGACAACAGCCAGCACCATTTACTGAGGGCACTGTGTGCCAGACATTGTGTTAAGGACAATTGTTTTCACACATGGAGTCTCCAACAACAATCTTCAAGGATCTTTGTTGATATCCCCATTTACAAGTGTAGAAACTGAGGCTTAGAATGGTTGAGGTACTAGAAACCCATCTGGGTCCTGCAGCAAATGGGTGCCAGAGGCAGGAGAACACAGATCTGTTGTGCTCTGAAACCGGAGCTCCAAGCTTTCTTCTATCCATTGAAGAAGCCTTTTCTTCTGGTCTCCAATACAGCTCTTGGGCCACACCAGATAAGCGTCATTATAACCATTTAAATATGTATTTGGTGGCCTCTCTGTGAGTCCTCCCAGCCCCTGTCTTCTGCCTTGTTTCTTTCCTTGTTTTCTGTGTGGTGTCTTCCTGCCCAGCTCCTGCCCTCAGAGAAAGCCCTGAGCCAGAACTGCCAGTGTTTCCGGGTGTGTTCTTATTGGCGTGGAGCAGGAGGAGCCCGTATCCTGCACTCGGTCCATGTTTATTCACAGCAGACCATTTTGAAGTCTTACCGTGCTAAGTTCCCATCCAGCTATACCCTCCACTTGTTGCCTCATCAATCCTGTAGTGGCAAGTGACACACCTGCCAAGAAAGAGATGCACAATAGCTGCCTTCTCTTGAAGCCTCTGCAGAAGTAGCCTCGTGAGCTGCCTCATTTCTACTGTTTCATTAAGTAGGAATAAAAGTTCTGAGATCACTGTGATAGTTTGGAAGTTATGGCTAGTGGCTCCTTTCGGGGAAGAAGGGAGGAGAAATTGTTTTAACTCTTAAAACATTTGAAGTTTGCAGAATGAATTTTGTATCCAGGGAGGAATCATCTAGAGTTGAATTCTTTTTTCTAAACAGGATAAAAAATACCTTTTTCACACTGGTCTATCGCTCACAATTGTTCCGTGTTTTCAAGTCATAGCTGAACATATATATATACATATAAGTACTCACTGTAAATTGGGGCACTTAAACCCAGATATGCATTCTCTCTGTCTCTTTTTTGAAAGTTAAAAATCATTGTTTTCTCATTGCCTAATTTTAAATTAGGAAATAATAAACTAGCAAAGTTTTTTAAAGGGTTGAAATGATAATATTTCCAGTGTCCTACTACCAAGAAAGAGGGGTGGGGGAACCCACAACCCTACTATTTATATCGTGGTCAGTATCATTCTAGATATTACACTGCACCTTCAGAAAGACAGGTAGGTAAGTTTGGGTTTTCTTTTCTTTTTTTCTTGTATTTTCCTCTCCCTCTGATATGATTTTTCTGTAGGACAATTGGGTACTTTCCACCCAAATTAGAAATGCATCTACTCTTGACCCAGAAATTCCACTTCTAGATGTTGTAGCCTAAAGGTGTCGCACATGCAAAATGACACATGTGCAGTTATTTGTTGCAGCTTTATTTCTAAGAGCAGGAGATTAGAGAACCAGTTAGATAAATTATAGTGTATTTCTATAATAAAACACACATTGTAGTGGTGAAACATTGAAGTTCTCTAAGGAAAAATTTCCAACATACTATAGATATTCAGTGAAATAAGCAAGTTGGAGACTAGCATGTCTGGTATTAATGCTTTTATAAAAGTGGGAGATAAGTAAGACTTTAGAGTGGCCCATGTTTTCATAGGTGTAAAAACATGGTGAAAAGTGTGTCTTAGTCATCTAGTGTCACTATAATCGAAGTACAAGTAGGTGACTTTAACAACTAGAAATGTATCTTCTCACAGTTTAAGAGGCATCAAGTCTGAATTCAGGCTGCTGGCTCTAGGGCAGCGGTTCTCAACCTGTGGATCACAACCCCTTTGGGCGTCGAATGACCCTTTCACAGGGGTCACCTAAGACCATCGGAAAACACATAAATATTTCACAATATGTAATTACATAGGGTTTTGTGATTAATCACTATGTTTTAATTATGTTCAGTTTGTAACAATGAAAATACATCCTGCATATCAGGTATTTGCATTACAATTCATAACAGTAGCAAAATGACAGTTAAGAAGTAGCAACAAAAATAATGTTATGGTTGGGGGGGTCACCACCACATGAGGAACGGTACGAAAGGGTCATGGCATTAGGAAGGTTAAGAACCACTGCTCTAGGGGAAGGCTCTCTGGCCATCGGCTGTGAACGAAGGTCTCTGTCTCTTGGAGTTGCTGCTCCTGGCCTGAGTTCATGTAGCTTGGCATCTCTCATTTCCCGTCTCTGGGAACTATTGCTTCTTGAATCTCTCTTAATAGCTCAGAGGATACTGACTGAAAACTTACCCTACACAAATCCTGCTTCCTCAACATAGCAAAGGCAGTCCGTTCCCAAATGGAATTATAACTGCTGGCTTAGACGTTAGGATTTACAGCACAAATTTTGAGGGGGATAAATTATCAAGAGTTCATGAGGGAGGGGGAGCAGGGAGGGAGGGGGAATAAAGAGGAGCTGATGCCAGGGGCTTAAGTGAAGAGCAAATGTTTTGAGACTGATGAGGGCAATGAATGTACAAGTGTGCTTTACACAATGGATGGATGGATGGTGATAAGAATTGTACGAGCCCCCAATAAAATGATTAAAAAACATTTTTTGAGGGAGCACAATGGAATCCAGAGGAAGCGTGCATAACAAAAAAATAGTGTATTGCTGTATGAAGAAGGGGAGTGGGAAGGTGGAGGAGAGTAAAGAGGGAGACTTGTAACTTGTCATCCTTTCTGGGCTTTTGAATCCAGTGAAGGTACTACTGCCTACTCAAAAAGTAAATATCAAACCCTGCACACTGCAGCCCTTTTCTTCATGTAATACTAGATTGTATTCATCTACAACATCTTGGGTTTTTTTAATGGCCAAATAGTATTCTGGCAAAGAGTTATAGGGCAGATTTGGGTGTTGTGATTAACTTCAGAATCATGAACTCCCTTCCGTGTAGATCTGAAATGATTTGCTCAGACTGTGTGTCTTGATAGCAGCCATTTGAACCCCAGTTCTCATAGCTTGCTCTCCAGAAAAGCCCTGCCCACTTGTTCACCCAGTAGAGGTCAGTTCAGGATTGTCTTTCACATCATGCCAAAGTGAATGTTTTTTTTTTTCTTGTACTCTCTTTCTTTTACTCTGGTTTAAGATCATTTATTTGAAGGGTGGGATGAATTCCAAAGCCTCTTGAAGGAATGAAAGTGGCTGAGGTTCACTTCTGAGCCTGGCTCCTGAAGTCACCAGCATGTGTTCCAACCCTGTGACCAGACCTCTGGCCTATTCAGTGTTTTCTTATAGATTATTGATTTCACCATCACTTTTACCTTAGTTGCCAAATGGGGTTGCTCTGCTAGGAAAGATTTTTTCCCCTTAAACTTTAGCATGACAGGAAGTGTGTGTGTGTGTGTGTGTGTGTGTGTGTGTGTGTGTGTTTCCTGCATAAGTTAAAAATCAGGCTTTTTCTAAATTACATCTTTGAACTAATGAATTATAAATTTTATAGGACTTTTAATACTTTCACCAGCACTGTTATAAATTTTTTTAAAAAGCAAAAACTGAAACTCATACCATTGAGTTTACCCCTGCACATAGAAACCCTAGCGGGCAGAGTGGAATTGTCTCTGTGGATTTTCAAGGCTGGAACAGAAACCTCATCTTTCTCCAGCAGAGCAGCTGGTGGGTTCAAACTGCTGACCTTGAGGTTAGCAGCTAAAGTGTCACCCACTACACCACCTGGCCTCCCATGTTCTCTATTAGTCTTTTGCGTATGCGTAAATTATTATTTGTTTTAGAAATTAGATTCTTGTAACTTAGGTGTTTTTCCTTGTATGTTAAAAAAAATGTCATGGTACAGAATTTGGACAGTACTCCCATGTCCCCTCCCCTCTCCCCTATCTTTGCCCCCACCCCCTCCCAGCACCTAGTCTCATGGTGTGCCTTGTATTCACAAGTGTGTGTTTATGTGGATTTTTTTTTTTCTGGATCAAATGAGTGGGTTTGTTTTCCCACCCACTTGAGGTGTGTCTGTCTGTCTGTGTCCTGCTGCAGCAGTTTGATGATCTTATTTTACTCCCTTCTAGGACAGCTGTGGGAAGAGGAAGAGCCTGGCTCTACCTTGCACTCATGCAAAAGAAACTGGCCGATTATCTGAAAGTGCTTGTAGACAATAAACATCTCTTGAGGTATGGTATCACCTTGCTCTGCTTATGACAGCTGTGTAAATAATCAGAACATAGCTTTGTGGGTCATTATGAATGAAAACAAGTGTGTGTCATGTTGTAATTTTTTTCCTGCAAATTCTAAATCTTAAAATACTCTGTGGCTTAGCATTAAAAGAACAGCATTTCATTTTCTTAAAACTGCTGTCTGCAAGTCACTGAGTGGAGATGGCAACATCATTTGGAAGAAACTCTTCATAAATATCAATAGCAGGTAGGCATCCATGGGTGATGCAGATGGTTACCACGCAAGGCTGCTGGTTGCCAGGCACCCAGAGGCACCTCAGAAGAAAGGCCCGGTGATCTTCCGAAACAGTCAGCCCCTGGCCAAGCCCAGTGGAGCCCAGCTCTTTCCTGCCACAGGTGAGGTCACCGTAAGTCGGAGTCAACTGAGTATCAACTGACAACAACTGACAAACTAGCCCATTATGTTCCAGAGAAATGGTGGTCATTAAAGTGAAGGGTAACTGGAAAAATTACAACTAGGTTGAGTGGCCAAGGTTAAGGTATAAAACACTCTTTGTTTTGTTTGTTTTTAATCATTTTATTAGGGGCTCATACAACTCATCACAA